GTTAAATTTAGATTTTTAGAAAACTCTTTGATCCATGTCTTAGTTATCTAGTACTACTATAACAAAAATACCACAAATAGGTGGCTTTAAAGGAGAAAAATTTGTTTTCTCACAGTTCAAGAGCTAAAAGTCTGAATTCAGGGTGGTGGCTTTAAGGAACAGCTTTCCTTCTCTGGAGAAAGTTCTTGTCTCTTTTCAGCGTCTTTTTCCTGGTTCCTTGGACATCTTCATGTGGCCTGGCATCTATCTTCTCCCATCTGTGCTACATTGTTTCTGTGCCTAATCAGCTCTTTTTATATCTCAGAAGTGATTGGGGTTAAGACACATCTTACACTGATATGGCCTCATTAACGTAACAAAGAAATTGCCATTCTCAAATGAGATTATATCCAGGGTATAGCGGTTAGGATTCCAACACATGCTTTGGGGACACAGTTCTGTCCATAACAGTCCAGTTAATTACTGAGTTAATATCTGATTCAGTGCTCATGTATCAGAATGAATACATAAGCAAATATTATGATTACTAATACCAAGCTCAGTGCTCAGAGAACAAGGGAATGTTGGATGGGTGAGGGAATAAATGCACAGCAAAATCAGACTCGGAAAGAAGTTGATCATGTAGATACACTAACCAATCCCTGCTCTCCATAGTGTGTTTTAACAATACTAATATCATCAAGTTGGAATATTAGTCATCTCTCTAATTATTTACTAGAAATATGAATGCATTTTCATTAAAAGTACTGACTTTAATTCTAGTTTACCTTGTCTCATTGCTCTACCAGGGAAGAAGACTTGGAGACAAAATCAGAGCAACTTAAAAGTAAGTATTATTAGAAACACCCACATGCAGAATGCCTCCCCCAGGGAGATGCCCCCACCTGCCCTAGGGAGATGCAGCCCTTAGATCAATCAGCCACGAGACATCAGGACAGCCTTCACATACAGGGAAAGCTGGACAGACAGGAATGCATAGAGAAGAAGGGCACAGGGAGGGGGTAGGTACAGGGAGGAGAGTGGAAGAGAGTTTATGTAGGGCTGGGGATCGTAATTGGGGCTGGGAAATCAAATGTGCATGAACTGTTGAGTGTAAAACAAATCTGCCTTGTAAATTTGCACCCAAAAGCACAATAAAAAAATAATAAGAAGAAAGTATTATTAATTAATTCTAAATTGGTCTCATTGCTGTAGTTGCTCAATCAATATGAAGGGTTAAACCATATTCTTTATTCACTAAATCAGTATTGTGCACTTGAAAGCCTATTTAATCTGAAAGAGAAAACTGCTGCTGCATTGTGTCTAATTGCATTGCTGGCATATCCCCAGATGTATGAGCAGTGTCTCAAGTCCTGGGTCCAGTTCAGTGTCGTTTCTGCAGAACATCTCATAGAGGTTCCAGGTTCTCCTTGTCACCTTGCTCCCTCAACACACCTAAATAAGGGCTGTACCCTGCTACGGAACACTTCTTCCAAAGTGATTCCAGTCCCATAAGGATGAAGCATGGACAGTGGACAGGTTTCTATGGGCCATGCAGAGGCTAACTCTGGGCTCAGAAAGACATTCATTCTTTTCTTGATAGGTATGAGATTCCTTCCATCTCAATTACCCATGATACTCTGGAATCTGCAGAGAGGATTCTACATTTTCTTTCTCTGTGTCTTTGACATCTAATGAAGACAAGAACATATGCCCAAAAGGCAGTGCAGCATAGTGGTACAGGTTTTAGAGCTAGAAGACCTGGCTTTAATTCCAGCTCTATCACTTGGGGGCAAATTCTCTGGAGCTCAGTTTCCTTATCTATAAAATAGAGATAATAACAGAATACTTTATTTTAGGATTAGTGGTGAGATTAAATGATGGAGTATTTCTGAAATACTTTGAATGCTGTGTGGCATAGAGTGAACTTCTAAGTGTTTGATGTAAGAGGTGGCGTTGATGGTTGCCACTGAGTCGGTTCCAACTTAGGGCAACTCTGTGTACAACAGAACAAAACGTTGCCTGGTCCCGTGCCATCTGCACAGTCATTGGTATGCACGAGTCCATTGTTTCGTCCAATGTGTATTATGAGTGCCTGCCAACCTAAGGGGCTCATTTTTTGCAGCACTATTTATCAGAGCTCTGGAGCTCTGGTGGTGCAGTGCCTAAGGCATTTGACTGCTAACCAGAAGGCTGGCGGGTCAAACCCACCAGCCACCCCATGGAAGGCAGACTGGGCAACCTAATTCCATAAAGATTTACCGCCTCGGAACCCAGTGGGGGTTGCTGTGAGTCAGAACTGCCTCAATGGCAGTGATCTATCAGACAGTATTCGGTTACGGTCCGTTGAGTTTTCATTGGCTGGTTTTTGGAAGTAAATCGTCACGCTTTTCTTCCCAGTCTGCCTTAGTCTGGAAGCTTTGCTGAACCCTGTCCACCATGGGTGACCCTGCTGGGATTTGAAATACTGGTGGCATGGCTTCCAGCCTCACAGCAACGCACATGCCACCACAATATGACAAACCAACTGACTTAGGACCTTAGTTGTTGTTGTTGTGTGTCATCGAGTCAGACCTGACTCATACCGACCCCTCCTTGGGTTTCCAAGGTGGTATCACTATGGAAGCAGATTGCCCACCTTCCTTCCGAGGAGTGGCTAGTGGGTTTGAACTGCCACCCTTATTAAGTCAAGTATCTTAGAGGAAACTTAATTTGACCTCGATTTCCTTCAAGAGAAACACACCTACATAGATGCTACTTTACCTTTTCTTTTCATCATTTCAGATTGAACTGGTGCATGACGATCAGGAGAAGAGTAGTTCCAGTCAATCCTCTCCTTTGGGCAATGACAATAGCTTGGATGTTTTAAAGAAGTATCTTCTGTTTATTAACGTACACATATACACATACACCTGTAGGAGGCTCTGGGCCAGTGTTGCAGAGGAATGTGCTTGGAATGTTGAGGTCACAGACTGAGGTTCTGCTGGAGGTGATAAAAGCACTGACGAGCTGTCAGAAGCCCCAGGTTTCGGCCTGGCCAAGCCCTGCTCTGCTTATGTAACTTGAGGAGAAAGTAACCAGGCTTTTCCAGAGTTTCCATTTCCTCTTTTGCAAAAGAGGAAAATAAAAGGGGGGACAGAGCTTCAAAACCTATAAAGGGCTACATGGATGCACATAGGATATTCATTTTATAGTTATTAGCAATACTTGTTCACTTTGATCACATGATACTAATATGCTAGACATAGAATATCCAACTTTTAAATTGCATATCATAGAGTTGTAAATAGCCAGTATTTGGGGCTAAACATAATAGAAATGCATATTTGAATCCAAATATTCAAAAACTTGAATGTTAAATGCAGAAAAATGGAATACACACACATACACGCACACACACGTTTGTACGTACATTCAGACTCTTCAGTGTTAAATGCTTAAGATGGAATATATACATATGTATTTGAATATATATTCAAACCCTCTTACAAGTTAAGTGCTTAAAAATGTAAAAAAAAAAAAGGGGGGGGCCAAAGTTAGAAGTTAAATTAATATGAGTTACTTATATTGGAGAATGAGGAAATAAATTTTAAATAGGATGTCAATGGAAAATCACATCGGAAGGAGAATATATTTTACGTTATAGACACAGTAAACAAAATTGAAACTTACGTATTATCTCTACCTGGGAAGACCAGGAGAATAAATCTACTTCATGTCTTAGAAAATTTTAGAACATCACTTGGAAAAGGGGATAAAAGCGCTTAAATACTACCTTTTACTGTTTTTTGAGGGAGAGAGGGAATTATGGCTCAGAAACTGTGCTAAGAACAAAAATCCTCAGATTCACTAATATATCTTGTGAGTTTTCAGTAAATTGATTCTTAAAGTTTAGTGAGTTTGAAAAATAACTTTTTTTTTCCACGTTTATAGTAATGGTGATGGCCCTCACTCCTTTTTTCAAATATATTTTAAAGAGACTTGTGAGTGGTACTTATTCTAGAAACCAGAGAATTAGTTTCATATTTTCATGATGAAACCATCACTTTTGGTAATTTCTATACATTAAAATTTTTTACCTTAGAAAATTCATAATGATTATAATTGGAGGTTAGCAAGACAATTATAAGGCAATGAAATAACCTATTGATATCATCTTTGTTTCTGTTTTAGCCACGTTTTAAATGAGCTGATACAGACTGAAAGGATGTACGTCCGAGAGCTGTTTACTGTCTTATTGGTAAGTGACTCAAATTGTATTTTCCTCATCTTTTCCTGAATGATCTCTTGCTCATTCATTAGAAGGGTTTTGGCACAATCTCCTGTTTCTGTCTCTTTCCTTTGTTGTCATACCTCAACAGTTAGCACTTCTCCTCTGGTTTGGCACTGCCTGTTGGTTAAAGGTGTGTGTTCACTACGCCTCAACAGTGAGAAGTATTGGTTCAGAATTTATTGCAGGAGAGGGAAGCTGTTGTGTTAGGGTACAGCAGTATTCCCAGAGTGCTATTTAGTGATTGCAAATAACTGAAAATGGGATAAAAAGATTCAATTGCCATAAATGTCATAAAGGTAATTGGTCTGAAGAAAACTAACCACTTATTGCCAGCTTAAGGAGAAGTTGATGGCCTGTAGTATAATTTTTCATACTTGGTTTCAGTTTTCTTTCCTACACTTCCAGCTACCCTGGAGGCCAAAGAGCTGTCACTTTATTCTACTGACTGAGTGGAAAACCTGGACTATCTGTCCTGCCTTGTAAAAAAACAATAAAGAAAAATGGATGACTTTGGGAATTGGGAGATATCAATGTTAAAGCAAAAGCTGCACCCCTAAACTCCCTATACATTCTGCTGTACCTATACCTTTTGATGGCGAAATCAGATGGTAAAGCAAATATTATAAAAGCAAACAAATATTTTTATTTTGTGTAGGGCTACAGAGCAGAGATGGATAATCCAGAGATGTTTGACCTTATGCCACCTCTCCTGAGAAATAAAAAGGACGTTCTCTTTGGAAATATGGCAGAGATATATGAGTTCCATAATGAGTATGTAATTGCTGAATTGAATATTTTTGTGATATTAGAAGTTTATTGACCAATTTTTTATATTGCCCATATAATTATGACTCATTCTTTTCTCTGAAATTTTGACAGCATTTTTATGAGCAGCCTGGAAAATTGCCTTCGTACTCCAGAACGAGTGGGACATTGTTTCCTGGAAAGGGTGAGTCCAATTATTACAAAGAAAATACAGATAAATATGGGCTACCAAAATAACAGCTCATTTAAAAGAATAGATTTGGAGACAAGATAGATTTTCTTTTTTATGTCTTTCTTTAGTTCATGTTTTGGGAGATGACACATCTATCTAGCAAGCATCTAATGATAAACCCAGTTCTCTTGCAGAAATGGATGCAGTGCAGTATCTAGAGCAAGCGAATGTCTATTGAGTTTTATGCCATGAAATACTCCAACAGCTCAGTTAGTGACTACTGACCACAGATCATTCCGGGAGGCCAGGGACCATCGTAGCTATGAGATGTGAGGATTGGAAGCATCTTAGGAAAACTGTTCTGGGCTTGGTTACATTTTAGCCTAAAAGATGCCTGGAGTTCCCCTCTAAGACATCTCCAGTCTTCGATGCCTTGGTGGCTGAAAGCCAGACTATGTTTGATTCTGTCATTGGAACTTCACTAAACAGAGAGCTGTCTGTTCTTTTTACTACATGAGATTGTTCAGGGAGCCTTATTACTCCACGTCAGAAGAGTGTTCTTAGTACAATTGACTTTCCAGCCTTTGTGATGAAACTCCCTACAGAGTTTTCTCTCAGAATGTTTCCTGCTTTCCCTTATCTGCTTATCAAGTTCCTCCTCTTCCTGTAAGATTAGTTCTGCTTGATTTGGGAGTCATTTTGATAGAGGCAAGAGATGACCGCTTCAAAATAGATACATTTTCCTGGGAAATGTGTCTGAAATGAGGAGAGAACAAGATTGAGAAAGAACTGTGTGTTTTCACCCTTTTCAACATCATGCCCTGATTTTAAACATATTTCAACTATGGCCATAGTCTTCCCTGACCTCCTCAATGGGGCACTACATGTCTATGCTGCTCTTCAGGGACTTTATGTTTATTTTGCATCTTTTCCTATTTTCATGGATTTCTCCCCATAGATGGGAAGATCTTTTAGACAGGGTCCATATCCTGTTGTTCTTTGTGTCTCTCATTATTATTATTATTATGCACTATTATTGGCAACTGGTAATGGTTTAATAAATTCCTCTTGATGACACATTCATTTAACAGTCATGTATTGAGCAACTACTATGTGTTAAGCACTATACTGGGCAATATGGATACCAAGCCTAAGACCACTGAGGTAGAAACATTGGGAAGCCATTGATTGTGTTCAGTGTGAGTTATGCTATATTAAAGATACACAAAGGGTCCTATGGGAACCCAGAAGAAGAGCATCTTACATCAACTAGAGCAATAAATGATGGCTTTAAAGAAGAGATGACTCATGAGATGAGTAGGAGGTAGTCCATTACATGAGGGTGAGAGAAGGATGATTCCAGACAGAGAAAATAGCATGGACAGATGCTTCAATGGGTTAGGCTTTGGTGATGCTATACCAGTAATAAACCAAGGACTGAAGGCTCTAACTTGGAAGTGAGCTACAACTTCATTCATCAGGGAACCAAGATACTAACAGCTTAGCAGAGCATATTTCTTGGTACCCTAGCAATTCAATTCATAGTTATAAAAAAATATTGTCCATTTTTATAGTTCAGAAAGAGAAGGTTTGTTTTCTCTCTGATTTTCAAGCTTGATAAGTGGAAGTTCTGAAATTACTTGGATAATGATGTACCCTCTATACCTGTCAGATGGCCATAATGATCTTGGAATACCAAGAGGGGCCCTGACCAGCTGCCAACATGGCAGGCCCTTTAGACCCCTTTTCCTGTAATGCTCAGCCACACTCACTTTTTTTAAAAAATTGTGATTTGGGTGAAACTTTACAGAGCAAATTTACTTTCCATATAGTGATTCACATATACTGTTTCTCATGTCATTGACCACAGTTTATCACAATGCAAAAGCTTCCCTCCCACTTCCTCCCCATAGTTATCTCTTCCC